TAAATAAATATCTTTTAAAAATGTTTTTAACCAATAATTTTCAATTTTCATCAAAAATTTGCTGAAACTGTTCAGTTTCGGTTTGTCAAAAATATTTTCTACTGCTTTATAATTTAAAAAAAAGCTTGAAATAGGTATTAAGGAGCAAAGATTTTTTTATTTCGTTAATTATTTTTTTTAGAAAAACAACAGTTTTGATAATTGGAACAATAGCATTAAATTCAATGCTCATGTACTTTAAAATAGATAGCTTGTACTATTTATTAAAAATAAAATAGAAATTAAATCTACCCTATTGAATTTATAACAGATCCAAAGGACAGCCAAAAGAAAATGAGAATTAAAATGACAGAATTGAAATTTTTTTTTTGAATTTTTTTTCCAAAAAAACTTTTGAAGTGGATTTATTCCTCATTTACATGCGAAGTGCAACATCTTGCGCGCAGGTATAAAGAGAGAGAGAATGGAACAAAATGGAGACGGCATTGGTTCTAATTAAAGAGAGCGACGAGGAAGTTGGTCCGTTCTTGTTTTTCGATGGCGCGGAGAAATGTTGTTAACGCTTAAATGTTAACAAATGTAGGTAAGAAGGGGCCCGATGAGAATCGGACAGGTAAAGGCTGCAAGCCGGTTGACTAAGTGAAGGAACACCGCTTGCCTGGCGGCTGCTTTTGAGCTCCGTTTGTCATGGTTCAAATGATAGATGAAGGAAGCGGAGACTCTCTCATACCCACTGAATAGTGTTAACTTTTACACCCAGCCACCTTATTGTCAGCCAAATAGAATCTATCCCTTTCTTATCATTTTTCTCCAATCGCAACAATAAAATTATAATTTTCTCAAAAAAAAATGAAGATATCGATTGCTCCGAGTCGAAGACTCGGAGTGATCGATTTCTTCATTTTTTCTTTTGATTAAAGATTTGACCGAGAGATAAAATCATTGATCGATTTAAAAAAAACTTAATACATTATTTTATATTATAAAATAATTGAATGTCTGCCCAATTATTTCTAATTTCTCCAAAATTGAATTTTCTTAGTCTTGTCAACAAAAATTTAAATTAGAAAATTGTTATATTCTATTATTTTTAAAATTGATAATTTTATTTTAGAAAGACAATAAGAAGTTAGAATTGTTGCTCGTGATTGAATATTCATTCCTTTATTCTGTCCGCAGATTATTATAGTTAATAATTAATAATAGTAAAAATAAAAATAATAATAACGAAATAATAAAAATAGAAAAACACTAAAAATGGAAAACTCTCGATATTGAAAAGAATCGTAAAGAAAAAATTGCGATAGGAGGGATATAAGAAAAGGGACATAATACGACAAGTTGGTGATTAGTTAATGTCGTGAATGATAGAATGATAGTTTATTCTCATTATTCTGTAAACGCCATTAACGGTAGTCGGATACATCGACTATAAGGCATATTTCGCAGGTTGACTCGAGAAGTCAAGGGTTATTCTCCAATTTGGCACGCACCATAAATCTCAAGGAGAGCACCAAGGGCGCACACTCTTTCCTCATCCATCTATACGTATACATAAGAACATTATATGATAGAATCTAAAATTGTATATATTTATTGAAATTCTTTTCCATTTCTTTTCCACTTATGTATATGAAATATTATATGATTTGTTACTTCAAGTCACGAAACAATTCAAATACTATCGATTTCTATTATACGGGTGCGCCAGATTATTGAGACTTATAAATAAAGAACCATTTCTATATATAAGGTTCAATATTTTTGAAATATACTTTTTCGTCCCTTCTCTTTTCTTCTTCTTCTTTTCTTTTTCTGCTTTTTTCTTTTTTCTATAACAATACTATTTTTGCTAAAAAGATGTATTATTATGTAGACAGTAGACTTTTAAGGAAACAAGTGAGATGTGTACATAATTCAGGAAGTTTGATAAAATGAGTGATGATGGAGAAGTGAATGTAAAGTGAAGCAGCTATTGATTCGTGAATGCACACAAGTGACACATCTATTGGTTATACCGAGCCACCAGTCATGCTGAGGTTTTAACTCTTAGCACACGGTGAACCCAAAACTCGAGTCAACGATGACGTAAAGGAGAGTTTGCAGATGATAAACGGTTTTCTTCCTCTAACCCTGGGGATTTTCGAGAGAACCAAACATCTCATTTTATTATCATACTTCTCATTTGGATTTTTCCCACATCACCCCAAAAAATAAAACCGCGATTCGAATTATTCAACAGTTTTCAAATTTATTTATTTAATTTTCTTTTGCCCCTTTTTAATAATTAATAATCAAACTTGGTTAATAACTTTAAATAATCAAATTTTGATTTAAATAATCAAAAAGCTGAAGCACAAATAATGGTTATAATAAACATATAGTTAATACACTCAATAAAAACTACGAGAAAGACAAAGAATACTAAAAGAACTGACTTCTATCAACAGTCGATGAATAATATAGAATAAAAGGAATATGTATATAAAAAATTAAGAGAACAAAAATCCAATTCAAATATAATATAAAAATATAAGAATACTAATGGTATTAAAAGGTAAACATGTTATATACGAGGCGAAGCAGACGGTCAATGAATTCCTTTTTTCCCTCGGCTATAATCGAACGCACTCAAAAGACCCTCAAACATTAATCATTATATATCCGTAAAACAATACAGATAATTAATACGTGCTCAACATAATTGGATACACGGTTACACACTATGCAGAAGAAATAAGAAATTCAAAAATCTGTTCCTTCAATTTATCATACTCGGAGAAAATTACATGGCTACGTTATTCGTATATATTTATATATCTACGCATATATATATACACGTATCTACAGGGTTTTTTGATCTATTTTAAAATTCGAATCACAGGAAATGAAATAATATTTAAGAAAGCCGACAGTATATTAAAAAATGTATTTTAAAAAAATTGTAGTCGTTAAACTTTTGAGTATAATTTTACGATTCTTTTATACTACTGATTTAGTTTTTTCTAAAAGAAAAAGTATTTTTTAGGACGATTTGTGATTTCTGGATGAAAATATCCAGAAATTAGAATATCTGCCAGATATTCTAGGAACGCTCATGGATATCTTGAGGACTAATGATGTTTTAATTTTTTGATATGGATAGATATCCTAGAATATCTATTGCACTGTTAGGGCGGGCACTTAGTACCCTCAATGATTATTATTACGATTTGGTTTTCTAAAATATAACACTTTTTTTCTATATTACCTTCCTGCTGCAACTCGAAGATTCTTTCCGCACTTTTTCCGCACTGTCGATGATCCTCCTGTGTATTTGAAACAAAAAACAATATTAAAAGCATATTTTAACTAAAAAATTTTTTTTTCATTTTAGAAAAAAATTTCTATTAAAAAAACTTAATTATTTTTATATTTTTAAACATTTTCATGTATAGAAACATGACAGGAATTAAAAATTCAATAATGTCAAAGTGATACGAAATCCAATCAACGTCTCTATTCGTCCACTAACCCGAAGGAAAATTGGGCTCAGGATCCAGACGGAAGATTAATGTTCAGTCTGATTAGTCTTGGAGTATTCGGAGTGGAGACTCCAACAGTAAAAGTATGAACAGAAACCTTTCGAAATTTCCGTTTGTAGTGCCAAATATCACTTAGGATGTCTCGATTCGACTAAAGTATTTTATGCATCGAACCAACTTTAAGATAAATTAGTAATTTATTATTTTTGGTTCAAAACTTCGTTGATAAAATTGACCGGCATTGCAGTAATATTGTCAACATGTTTTCAATATTGAAAAAGTTGATGAAAGAAATGTCAACGCTTTCTCAATATTGAAAATGAATAAGAGAAATTGGAATATTTGTGCAAGTTTATCACTTCTGTATGGCCGTAAAACATAATTTTTTGCGTACAGTTTAAATTTCTACATGTCGTAGATTAATTCTATAATATTTAACTGACGTAATTAAAATTTTTTATACCTCTTTAAGGGTGAATAGAGAAATGTTTCTTTATGTGCGTATTAACATGGCGTCGACGAGTCCCCTTCTTCTTCTTCTTCTTCTTGTCATTAACCCACCCACGAAAAACACACTTGAATTTTAGGGTGGAGCATCTGACAGCAATTCCCCCATTTAGTCTACCAGAAACTTGATTCTTATTTATTTTTATTGAAGCGAGAGCCCTCTGGAGAAAATTCTCCGAAACTTGAACACGATTGTAGGAAACTTCTTTTGACAGTTACCGATATCACATGCAGATAAAGTGGGAAATCAGTTACTGTCGTAACTAATTTCCCACTTTATCTGTATGTGATATTCAAAAGAACTTTAAAATTACATTTTACTTTTGCACTGAGAAAAAATGCTATCGAATTAATGACATATTTTTGTTGTTGCAAATTTTAATAATTAATTATTTTAATTTTCACTAATATTTTGAATAGACGGTTTTATCCCTTTTTATAAGGAGTTTTAATGGGTTTTAAATTAGTTCTAAGGGTTCTAAGGTTAACCATCGAATTCTGGGATTTCTAGAAATTATGACATCTGCAGGACGTTACTACAACTGTAGAAAACTCTTCAATCCCTGGTTATGTAGGTATTCTCTTTACCATTTGCCGGTATGGTCGCTCTTAGGATAAGTATTTACGATTCTACCAACATTCGGTATTGAACTTCCTACTTTATCTTTCAATGCTATTCTCGATTCGTGCTTTTGGTTACCTCTCGAAGAAAAGAGTGGCATTCGACTAAAAAGCTTCTATTTCCTGTCGAAAATTTTGTAGTTGTTGGTAAAATATTGCTGCATGTTTCGAGACAATATTTTTATTTCTAGCAAGATAACTAGTAATATTTATTTTCTTTATAACTTAAAATTTGTTATAAATCTGTTATAAGTTATAACCCCATGGAAGTTGTAATTTAACGAATATTCTCAGGACTAGAATGTTCCCAAGGCATCTTTTTGCCAGTAAAGAATGTCGGGACACTCAGTTAACGCTCATATCACGGAGTAACACACTGGTTCTCGTTCGATCACCAAAGTTAAGCTCCGTTGAGCGCGGTTAGTACTTGGATGGGTGACCGCTTGGGAATACCGTGTAGTGTTAGCTCTCTTTTTTTTCCTTTTCACTATAATTTTTAACTTTTTTTTTTAGCAAATATCGACTTATTTTGTTTATTTATCTTTTTCTAATTCATTATTTTATTTGTTTTCAAATTTTTGAACCACTGTATTGAATATAATCTTATAAATACCAGAATAATTATTATTTTGCTTTAGAAATTTTTCAGAAAGCTTATTCGTAAAAAGTATGTCTTGTATTAAGCCTCATTTGACTAAAAACAACTTACATTAGTGACAGTTAACGATAGATTAACGTTAGCCTAACGTTAGCTAATGATATTAACGTTAAACTAACGTTAGGCTAACGTTAATCTAACGACATTTTTCAGTCACTAACGTTAGATTAACGTTAGCCTAACGTTAGTTAACGTTAACTTCTTCACCTGGGACTTTGTTTTTACAGTGCACCAACTTTGGTACCAATGTACCAAAATAAGAGACTTTGATAAAATTATCGGTACCAAAGTTTGTGGTTGAAAGAAATTCGTCTGGAAAAAAATACAAATTAAGAAATATTCTCTATACGTGTATATGTATATGAATAATCCAGGGACATATTTTGAAAGTGGAATTTCTTAATAGAAACTTCAGAGCAAGATTGGCAGCAACTGCGAAAGGAGGTGGGTTCGGAAACTTGGGGTGCAAGGGGCTGCGATCCTTATGTTGACGCTGAAAATGCTGTCCGATCGATCTTCGTCAGACTTGATTTCGCAGCAGTACAATCATCCAACAAATAGAATTGTACGTTGCGCCCTATAGCTATATAAGCGTTAGACTATACAGCTCCCCGAAAAACTTCACAACTGCCAATCGTTGTCAACAACCCTCCCCTCTCTCTGACTCTCAGTAAAAAAAAATATATATATATTCTCAAATAATCCTTTGTCAATCTCATCCGTCTCGTCTCTAGAAAAAAAAAAAAAAAAAAATTCGACCGACAAAATGTCTTCTTTTTCCATCAAACGATTTTTGTCCGTTAACAATAATACATCCCTTCAATCTCTGTATTACAAACTGATGACTTTATATAAAAAGAAATCAGTATCTTCAAATGCAGTTGTATTCGATATAAGTTTCAATTTTACTATTCTATAATCTATAACACTGATGGAATTTTTAATTTTTGAAAAATGGGTTTAAGTTTTAAAACTATTTTTGTAATTGTATGGATCAGATCAACAGGGCTCGAACCAATGAATGTATTTAAAAATACAAACTTTACGGACAAAAAATGAAAAATTACGAATCATTTACGGACCAACTGACAAAAATATAATCAGGCTGAGTCAAATAAAGGAACATTTTACTTAAAACTATAAATTAAACTTTTCATAACAATAAAACATGGAGATATCGATAACTCCGAGTCAAAGACTCGGAGTAATCGATTTCTTCATGTTTTATAATAATTAATTATTAATTAATAATTAATTATTAATTAATAATTAATTATTAATTAATTATTAATTTTTAATTAATGACCGATTGATAAGATCGTTTACCATTCAATTATTATTTACAAGAATTTTTAACTAAAATTCTTCTTTAAATCGATTATTTTTAATAATTTTCGAAACAGTTCATTAATAATAATTACATTTTTCGACAAATTCGATTAAAATTGTATTAAAAATAATTGAAATTCTGCAATGAGTTTTATTATTTGTGAAAATAATTGAATTCCTAAAAAGATTTTTATTAATTTTCAACAATATTTAATTCTTGTGAAGATAATTTTTGTAAATTTTACAAAACTGAATTTTTTTCGTATTTTTAACTAAACATCTTCTATAAATCCATTATTTTTAATAATTTTTGGAAAAGTTCTTTAAGAATTTTCAAATTCATTTATTTACAATTCAAGTTTACAAAATTTCAATTATATTCGTAAATTCTTCAATTAAATATAGGAATATATTAAAAAATAAAAATTTTAAATAATTTCAAAAAAAAATCTATGCAAGTACATAGTTAAATCAATGTTTATAAAAAAATTCTACTAGAATTCAATTATATAAATAGAAAAATAACAATGTAATGAATAATTGCATGTTTCTTAAAATTAAATTTTCATAAAGAATTTTATCTATAAATTTTTAAATAACTGAATTCTTTTGGCGAATTTTAATAAAAAATTTTCGAGAAATTCGATCAAAATTAAAATATTTTTATAAAAATAATAAAATTTTTACGAGGATTCAATTATTTTCGTAAATAATAAAATTCTTTTTAGGCAATTATTTTCATAAATAATAAAATGCTGCATTAATGAGTTTTATTATTTATGAAAATAATTAAATTCCTAAAAAGAATTTTATTATTTACAAAAATAATTGAATTTTTAAAAAGAATTTTATTATTTTATGAATATAATAATTGAATTATTGCGAAGAAATTTATTTAAAAATTTGTAAATAATGAAATTCCTGGAAAATTTTTATTATTTTCCGAAAATAATTAAAAGTTTGTGTAGGATTTTTGCGAAGAATTTTATTATATACTTTTGAAAATAATTGAATTTTTTCAAAAATTTGTAACTTTTCCAAAATTTAATTTTTTAGTGTTTTAAACTAAAATTTTTCTTTAAATCCATTATTTTTAACAATTAATTAAATAGGTATACACTAAAAAATAATTTATCAAATGTGTCTTAAAATTGAATTTTCATAAAGAATTTTATCAACAAAGTTATTATAATAAAATTGAATTCTTTTGACGAATTTTAATAACATTTTTAAGAAAAATTACATTCTTTAAGCAATTTCTGTAAAATTTTATTAAAAATAATTGAAATTCTGCGAAGAATGTTATTATTTATAGAAATAATTGAATTCTTTGGAAAATTTTATCAAATTTTTTTTTTAATATTTTGAATTCTTTTGGAAAATTTTATTAAAACAGTAGATAATTAAAAATTATGGAATTCAGGAAAATTTTTGAAAATAATTGAAATTTCGCCAACAATTTTATTAATATTATAAAGATAATTGACATTTTAACGAGAATTTAAAAAAAAATTTAAACATAATTGAATTTCTGTGAAGATTTTTATTAGCTTTGAAAATAATTGAATTTCTTCAAATATTTGTAACTTTTCCAAAATTATCCAAATTATATCGTAGAATTCACGAACTTTTCGTCCTTTTTGAATCAAATTACAGACTTTACGGACCTTTTTTCAAAAAAACTGACTTTTTACGGACTTCAAGCAAAGTTAGGGACTTTTACGGGTTTTACGGACTTAGTTCGAGCCCTAGATCAGAATTATCATCATCATCATCAACATAATGTTTAGGAATTTGAAACAATGTTAAGTGATTAGAATCTTGAGAATTGTTGGAAGCCGCGCACAGTGTATCGCTGATATTAATCAAATACGTAGCATATCTTCGGAGCCTGCACCTTTCATAAAACATATCAAAACGTCAACTTCTCGCCTTCAGTTGAAAAGAAGAAAAAAAAACTTCATTTCAATTCGTACGTCGAACGAAAGGCATGAAATGCTTTATCGCTAGCCGATCAAGTGACACGCACAGGAAGAAATCGCATGATTGATACTCATACTTCTCCTCGATATCTTTAGCATATTCATCAACAATGGTGATATTTTAATTAAACCGCGCATAACTGGTTACACGGACCCTTGAACAAACATCTGGACATCATTATTGTTTGTTAAACGAGTCGCGTGTCAAAAAAAAGAAGGAGACGGTACAAAGAGAATGGATCATACAAAACAGAATACGGTATTATATTGTTCATGTGTAAAGTAAAGAGTATAAAGTATGGAGTCTAGAGTATAGAGGAACAGAATAGAGGAATAGAGTACAGAGGAACAGTAAAGAGTCTAGAACATGGTATAGAGGAAAAGGACTGGTAAAAAAAAGCTGTATGGAAAGGTCGAACAAACGGAGTTCGAAAGAGGAAGCCAGTGGCAGCGAGAAGAATGTCATAGCTAGTAGTTTCTGGCAAGGAGGGAGCTTGACACCTCAGTGATGGATGGCCACCGCCCGCCAAAGCCGCTGCTTCTGACTGCCGTCGCTTCTGCTTGCTTCTAGTTGTGTTGTGTGATGCTGATGCCATAGTCCATTGCAAAATGGGGTCGAATTTTGTTATAGTAAACTTGACGTCTTTGTTTCACCTTCAACGTTGTTCATAATCCTTCGTGTATATATATATATGATATGATATGCTATAGTCTGTGTCCTCTTCATTTCCTATAAATATTTATTCAATATCTTACACTCGAGCTTTCAAGAAAATTGTTTGCTGAGAATGTCAAACAAAGGAGACGTCATCTTTTGGTATAAAACAGTATCGTTATAGTGTAATTGTAGTCTTAAGTTTATATTTAGAAAATTCATGGTATTTCTCTTTCTGATCATGTATGGAACATAAAATTGTGGTCCAATTTTTCATTAGGGTTGGATTGTATAATCGTTACCATGGTTTTTGATAACATTATAATCGTTACGATCATTCTCATTAATATAATCGTTACCATCATTTTCACTAGCATTATCATCACTATCCTCTTTTTCCTAAAGATTATCATCATTACCATCAGCATCATCTTTTTCCTTAAAGATTATCATCATTACCATCACCATCATCTTTTTCCTTAAAGATTATCATCATTACCAATATAATTATTACTTACATCCTCCACAGCATCTAAACTTGCAACAACATTAACAACATTGCCTCAATAATGTGAATCTTGCATCAATATTGTCAATTTATAGATAAACTACTGCAAGTTTATAGATTCTGTGGGGTATATGATGATAGTGTTGGTTATTCTTTTGTTCTTAACATTGTCATCATTAGCATCGTTTTCAGTAATATTAATATCAGTATCATCATCATCATTAAATATCATTACTGAACCTATAATTTTAATTAACATTAAAATCGTTGTCCTTATTTTCTTTTGCATTATTGTCATCAATTACATTGTCATCATTAGCATCATCTTCATTAACT